ACAGCAAGACCATGTTTTAAAGGAATGATAATAACACTGGGCATGGTGGCGTACAACTTTAATCTCAGCACTCAGGAGGTAAAGCCAGGCAGATCTCTATGAGTTTGAGGCCAGACTCATCTACTTAGAACACTTCAGCCAGCCAAGGCTACATAGTGAGAACTTGTCTCATCCAACAGACACCCTGGGTGTGGTGGTACACACATGTTATCCCAGTACTCGGGAGGTGGTGGAGGCAGGAGGGTCAGATGTTCAAAGTCATCCTAGGCTATACAGTGAGTTCAAGACCAGCCTAGGCTGCATGAGCCCTTATCTCAAAACCAAACCAAAGAGAACTCCATGAATAATATCAGTACCTTAGATCTTAGACTAGAATGATCCGGTCTAACTCCTTGTTCCCAGTGAAGACGGGAAGGCTCAGAGACAAGAGTCACTTCCGAGCTTATCATTGATACATCGGCACATTGATACATCAGCACATTGATACATTGGTGCATTGATACATCAGCACATTGATACATTGGTGCATTGATACATCAGCACATTGATACATTGGTGCATTGATACATCAGCACATTGATACATTGGTGCATTGATACATCAGCACATTGATACATTGGTGCATTGATACATCAGCACATTGATACATTGGTGCATTGATACATCGGCACTTAAACCTGGAGAAAGTGGTGTGGGAGGTTGGAGCAGGAGAAAGGGACATCTGGTGGTCAAATATCCCTCCAGGACCTGTTTGGGGAAGGAGCTGGAGGGCTCTTGACGAGTTAATTTTATTTCTTTTTCATCGCTGAAACAAAAGACGTAACAAAAGTAATTTAAGGTTGAAAGGGGTTACTCAGGCTCACAGTTCCAGGGTGCAGTCCACCCTGGTGGGAGGAGCGTGAGGCAGCCAGTCACATTACGTCAGCAATCAGAAACCAACAGCCATGAAGGCTGGACTCAGACGGTACCACCCCTATTTAGGGTGAGTCTTCCCACCCCAGTTAGCCCCATCTAGAAACTCCCTTACACATATGCCCGGAAGTTTGTCGCCTAGATGATTGTAGATTCCGTCAAGTTGACATTCAATTTTATCCATCGCAAGGCTGAAAATGGACAGTGTCTGCAGTGGTCCAGGCAGTGGCAGATGAGATCTGTGCTGGGCTGGAGGTGTCACATGGCTGTGAGAGAGAGGGATATTGACAGAGAATCAATAGACCCCATGACTGACTGACTGTTTGGAGAGTGGAGCTGGGAGGAAGCCAGGGTGGCATAGATTTTCCTTTTTTTTTTGTTTTTTTTCTTTCATTTTTTGAGACAGGGCTTCTCTGTGTAGCCCTGGCTGTCATGGAACTCACTCTGTAGACCAGGCTGAACCCAAAAATTTGCCTGCCTGTGCCTCCTCACAGCTAGGATTTTAAAGACGTGTGCCACCATGGCCCAGCTTGCATAGATTTTCTTCTTGTAGGTCACAACAGACACGCACCCCGTACTCACTCCAGTTCTCAAACTCAGTCTGTACATTTAATTAAAACAAACAAACAAACAAACAAACATACCCTAGAACGGCCTTGAACTTGCAGTGAGAATGACCTTCACGTTCTGATCTTCCTGCCTCTTCCCATCCCGCTTCCCCCAGCACTGGGACTGTAGCCCATGGCATCACAGCTGGTGTATGCACCGCTGAGGACTGCATCTAGGGTCATGCCCACTAGGCAAACACTCGACCAACCAAGCAATATCCCGAGCCCCACATCCGATTTAAGATTCATTCACCAGCTATCCAATGTAGCTGGTGAATGCCCAGACACAATCGCAAGACAGCCTCATCTCCATGTCACTCACAGCTTGTCACATAACTTCCCGGATCCCTTCGGCGTGTTTCCAATGCGTCAGAAGACACTCAGGTTGCTCACTCTAGCCTATGAGGTCTTTTCGAATCTAGCTGGTGTTCAGGTCTGTGACCTCATCTCTGACCCACTAACACTCTCCACATTGCCATAGCTTTAGGCTGTCCCAGCGTCATTCAATTGCTTGAGAACGCAGATCTCAGCCTCACTACAGGACCTCTGCACTTCATTATTCCTCCCTGCAGGGATCTCTTCCTGACCCTCAGGGCCTCTTCCAAATTTCCTCTTCTGGCTGGGTTTGTGGTCTATGCCTGTAATCCTAGCAATTAGGAAGCAGGGGGATTATTTTGAGTTTGAGACCAGCCTGGGCTGCACAGTGAGTTTAAGGCAGGTCTGGGATACATGATGAAACCCTGTCCAAAAAAAAGAAAGAAAGAAAGAAAGAAAGAAAGAAAGAAAGAAAGAAAGAAAAAAAAAAAAGAAAAGCAAAATGAGGTCTGCAAGATAAAAGTGCTCGCCATTGCCGGGCGGTGGTGGCGCACGCCTTTAATCCCAGCACTCGGGAGGCAGAGCCAGGCGGATCTCTGTGAGTTCGAGGCCAGCCTGGTCTCCAAAGCGAGTTCCAGGAAAGGCGCAAAGCTACACAGAGAAACCCTGTCTCGAAAAAACCAAAAAAAAAAAAAAAATAAAAATAAAAAAAAGTGCTCGCCATCAAGACTGATAGGCTGAGTTCTTTTCTCAGGTCCCACATGGGGGGAAAGAACCTATCGATCTGCACGCTGTCCTCTGACCTCTGCGTGCACACACAACACACTACATGAGCAAATGTAAGCAAACAAAAATGAAGAAGTCAGGCAGGGGAGCAACAAATGGGCCAAGGGAATCACCTGCGCTAGAAACAATTTCTGATATCTTCTCACCACTCCCTGTCTTCCTGTGTGTGTGTGTGTGTGTGTGTGTGTGTGTGTGTGTGTGTGTGTCTCATGTGACTGTGGGTACACACGTGCAAAGGCCAGAGTAGGATGTGGAGTGCTTTCATTGTTGCGTCCTGTGTGTTTATCTTTAAAAAAAAAGTTTTATTTTTTGATTGTTTTTTTGACAGGGTTTCTCTATGTAACCTTAGCTGTTCTGGAACTCACTCTGTAGACCAGGCTGTCCTCAAACTCAGAGATCCGCCTACCTCTGCTTCCTGAGTGCTGGGATTAAAGTCGTGCACCCCCCCCCCACGCCCAGCTCTGGGTTATTATCTTGAGACAGGGTCTGTGACTGACCTAGAAATTTGTCTTTTGGGTGTCGCTGCATGGCCAGTGGGCCTTCCGGATGGATGTGTATCCCACACCCTGGTGCTGGGGTTACAGGCACAGCAGCAAGGGCTGACTTTCTATGTACATTCCAGGGATTTGAACTCTGGTCCTCTTACCCACTGAGCCATATCTCCAATCTCCCCGTTTTTTTTTTTTTTTTGGTTTTTTTGAGACAGGGTTTCTCTGTGTAGCTTTGCGCCTTTCCTGGAACTCGCTTTGGAGACCAGGCTGGCCTCGAACTCACAGAGATCCGCCTGGCTCTGCCTCCCGAGTGCTGGGATTAAAGGCGTGCGCCACCACCGCCCGGCTCTCCCCGTTTTTCTTAAGACAAAGTCTCTAGCCCAGGCTGGCCCGGAACTCACAAAGATGGTAGTGAATTCCTGACCTGTGTGCCTTAACATCATTAGTGCTGGGATCACAGGCATGGACCACAGTGTCTGCTGTATCAATGCTGCTAGGATTCAAACCCAGGGCTTTGTTCATGCTAGTTCAGCAGCAGGCTACCAACCCCCACACTCACATACATGTTTTTTATATCCCTTATCATTAGTCTCATTATTATTATTTTTTTTTTAAGGAAGGGTTTCCTGTGTAGCCCTGGGTGTCCTTGGAACAAGCCATGTAGACCAGGCTGACCTAGAACTCACAGAGAGAGATCCACCTGCCTCTGCCTCCCAAGTGTTGGGATTAAAGGTGTGTGCCACCACTGCCTGGCTCATTTTATTATTTTTCTACCTGCTTCTTTCAGAATAAACCCTAAAGGGCATGCACCTTTTCTTCTATCCTCCCCTTTCCCTCCTCTCTCTCTCTCTCTCTCTCTCTCTCTCGTGTGTATGTGGTTGAGGTGAATGTTCATGTGTGTGCATGTATGTTGAGGCCCTAGGCTGAGGTCGGGGATAATTCCTGATCACTTTTCTTTCTTTTTCACTGAAGCAGGGTCTCTCAATCAAACTCAGAGCTCACTGATATGGCTAATGTCACTGGAAAGCTTGTTCTGGGATCCTCTGTTTCCACTTCTGAGGCTGGAATTACCGGCAGACCACCACATCCACCAGGCATTTTCTTAGGTTCTGAGCTTCTAAACCCCAGTCCTCACATTTGCATGGCAAGCAGTTTAACTACAGAGCCATCCCCCTAGCCCACCAGGGAACCTTCTAAATGTGTTCTCACCCGTGTCTGAAGAACCCATATGAGTTTCTGCTAGGGAGGACATACATTTGGAGAGTGGATGAGTGACAAAGCTGGTATTCCCAGAAAAGAGAATATGCATTGGCCTGGCACAATGTGCTGGGGGAGCAGCAGGGATGCCTTCCAGAGGAAGTGGATGTACAGAGGGAGCTGGTCAAAGAAAGCCAGCTGCCTTGTGATGAAATGCAATGCACCGCACAGGTTGAGGCCCTGGAGACCATCAGACCAGCAGCGGCTGCTACTGAGGTTGTCCATGGTCCTGAATCTCTGATCTAACGTCACAGTGATTGTGTTCAGCTTGGGATGGGATACTTCTGTGAGCTGGGATTTGTGGACAGATGAACTTGAGGGAACAGGAAGAGGAAACAAGAGATATGCACTGTAGGTTTAGAAATGGAGAGAGAGAGAGAGAGAGAGAGAGAGAGAGAGAGAGAGATTTTCAGAGACACTGCCAAATGGTTAGTCTGATCTTGCAGGCTTGTCTTTTCAGCTACTGGGGAGGGTCAGGCCAGTTCAAGGACTGCCCAGGCTACAGAGTAAGTTTAAAGGAGGCTTTATCAATTTAGCAAGACTATGCTTCAAAACAAACCAAAGGTAAAAGTGGATTGAGGTGTGTGTGGGGGTGGGTGGGTGGGAGAGATGGCTCAGTGGTTAAGAGAACATGTTGCTCTGCCAGAGAACCAGAGTTTGATTCTAAGCACCGATGTCTGATGGCTCACCATAGCCTGTAACTCCAACTCCAGGGGGTCTGATGACCTCTTCTGGTGGGTAACCACATGCACGAGCGCTCATACATTCACACAGACACACACATAAGTAATTAATAAAGCAATGCTTTATTATTATTTTTTAATTTTGTGTGCATTGGTGTTTTGCCTACATGTAGGTCTATGTGAGGGCACCAGATCCCCTGGAATCAGAGTTATAGACAGTTGTGAGCTGCCATGTGGGTACTGGGAATTGAACCCAGGTCCTTTGGAAGAGCAGCCAGTGCTCTTAGCCTCTGAGCCATCTCTCCAGCCCCTGTACACACACACACACACACACACACACACACACACACACACACACACACACACACACATACTTAAAGGGTTATGGTTATAGCTCAGCTGTAGATTGCTTCTTGTCTAGAATGCCCAGATGAGGGATTAGGGATATGATTTAGGAGTAGAGCCCATCCTAGAATCCCCTAGTGAGGGGTGGGGGTGGGGCTTAGTGATAGAGCCTCTATCTAGAACTTACCACTAAGGAGCTGGAGGCATAGCTAAATGGTAGAGCACCTGCCTAGAATCTCCAGTGAGGGGATGAGGTGTGGCTCAGTGGTAGAATCCCTGCCTAGATTCTCACAGAGAGAGGCTGGGGGTGTGGCTCAGTGGTAGGGCACTTGCTTAGCATTCTGGAGGCCCTAGATTCAATCTCCATCACTCCAGGGTAGCAGGGAGACTAGACCAGTTAATGAAATTCTCCAGAAGTTCCATATAATTGTCTTAGTTAGGGTTTCTATTCTGGGGCAAAACACCACATGACCAAAAAACAAGTTGGGGAGGAAAGGGTTTATTTGACTTACATTTCCACATTTCAGTTCATCACTGAAGTAAGTCAGGACAGGAACTCAAGCAGGGTAAGATCCTGGAGACAAAAACTGATGCAGAGGCCATTGAGGGGTATTGCTTATTGACTTGCTTCCCATGGCTTGCTCAGCCTGCTTTCTTATAGAACCCAGGACCAGCACCCAGGGATGGCACCACCCACCATGGGCTGGACACTCCTCCATTGATCACTAACTGAGAAAATGCCTTACAACTGGATCTCATAGAGGCGTTTCCTCCACGGAGGCTCGGCGCCTTCCTCTGATGACTCTAGCTTGTGTCAAGTTGACACACAAAACCAGCCAGTGCACTACCATCTTGCATGTACTGAATACTGTGTTAGATCCTAGGAATGCAATAGAAAAGATGAAGCGCTCCTTCCTAGCATTATGAGATTATATACCTTTCTAGTGAGGTGGGAACAATGTACAGTAAAAAGTAGCAGATACAGTGTAGGCAGTGATGAGTGCAATAGCGAGAACCATTTAGGGGTCAGTAAGATGGCTCAGCAAGTGCAGATGCTTGCCGCCAGCCTCACAACCTTGGCTCTGTCCTTCAGACCAACGTGGCGGAAGGAAAGGAACCAATTCCTTCATGTTCTTCCCTGACCCACACATTCCATGGTGTGCCTCCATCCCCTGCTCACAAAATTAATTAACTGATTAATTAATAGAATAAGGCGGGTGGGAGAAAAATGAAAGATAAGGAATAATTTTATCCACCTATCTGAACCATCCAGCTTTTAGATATTTCTCCATTCTCTCCTTCATCTTTCTCTTTTCCTTTATTCTGCCTCCTCATGCTGGTGCGCGCACGCACATATGGGTGCAGTGCCAACGGGGGCCAGAAGAGGGTGTCAAATCCCTTGAAACTGGAGTTACAGGTGGCTGTCTGACACGGGTAATGAGAACTGAACTTGAGTCCTCTGGAAGAATGGCCAATGTCCTCCACAGCTGAGCCAACTCTCCAGCTTCCCTCCTTTCTCTCCACACACCATGTACCTTCTGCCCCCCAAAACACTGGGGATTGAACCCAGGATCTCCCATGTGCCAAACAAGTGTTCTACCACTGAGCTACATCCCAATCATTTTTATAGTTTGGATGTGATGGGGTCCTTGTGTGAACTCTCTCTATAGCTCAGGCAAACCTTACACTTGGCATCCTCCTGCCTCTGTCTGCTGAGTAGCTGTGATTATCAATACATTTTTCTTTACCATTTCAAAATAAGTTTTAGAGCCAGGTATGGTAGTACACACATGGTGGTGCACGCCTTTAATCCCAGCACTTAGGAGGGGGAGGCAGATGGATCTCTGTGAGTTTAAGGCCAGCCTGGTCTACAGAGCGAGTTCTAGGACAGCCAGAGCTACATACAGAAACTTTGTCCCCCCAAAGGAGATTGCAAGTTTAAGGCTAACGGGGTATAGACTGAGGCTCTGTCTCAACAAAGCAGGAGTGGTGAGAGAGAGAATAAATAGTAGATATTGTGTCATTTTCTTGTTTAAGTTAGGGGGCTGGGGAGATGGCTCACTGGTTTGCCACCCAAGTGTGAGGTCCTGAGTTTAATCCCCACCCCCCACATACAAGTCATGTTTGGAGCACACATCGGCAGTCTGAAACCCCAGAACTGAGGAAGTGGAGACAGGAGGATTCCTGGGGCTCCCTGGCCAGTCAGCCTAATCTAATTCTTGATCTCTAAGTTCAGTGAGAGACCCTGTCTCAACAAACTAAGGTGGAGAGAGATTGAAGGAGATGTCTTGTGTTGACCTCCTGCACCCAGGCACTCACATGCACACACACACACATACATGTGTCTGAGCACACAGAAACATGAACACGTACAAACACGTATCACACATGCAGTTTTAGGGATCTTACAAGGACACATTCTTTTGCATGAGTACAATGCCAATACACATCACACCTAAAATTTGACACACACACACACACACACACACACACACACACACACACACAAACAAACAAATGTATACACAGGCAAAACACCAATGCAAATAAAATAAAAGTGGAAAGAAAAAAGAATATCTTTTCTAGGGCTCGGTGGCTCAGGGGTTCTGAGCATGCCTACTTGAGGCTCTGTGTTTAACAGCATAAAAAAAAAAGAAAAAAGAAAAAATGGTGTGTGTGTGGGGAGGCTGTGTTTTTTAGGTTTCCCTTCAGAGCCAGGACTTCATCCAGCCTCTTGAATTTTGTTTTGTTAAAGTCTTTTTGGTATTTACTGGCTCTGCCACTCTTTTTCTGCCCCGCCCCCCAACATTTACTTTTAAAATTTGGAAAGAATAGTATAAGGAAATCCCATGCACCCTTCATTCGGTTCCAACAATTGCCAGCATATGGCGGATCTTTTTTTAGTCAGACACTGCCATGTCCCCCTTCCGTACTTTGCTGCCTTATTTTAAAGCCAGCCTCAGACACCAGCAACTCATTTTGTCCTCACGAATTTTAGTATGTCTCCGAGTAAGAAGTACTCTTTTATTTACGCCAGCCACACTAGCCACGGTACCACGATGAAGCCCGAACAAACAAACCAAAGAGAGTAAGTTAATGCCATCTAATATTTACTTACTGTTCATTCCCCCCACACTGGTCTCATAAATTGCCTTTTTACTGGGAGCGGGTTGCAAATGTGTATGTAAATTACACATGGGCATTTAGCCGATGGCTCTCCAAAGCCTCCTTTACGCTCAGACAGTCTCTCTTTTTCCTTTTAAAAAAATATTATTACATTTATTTATCTGTGGCTGTGCAGGTGTGCACCACGGGACATGTGTAGGGGACATGTCAGAAGACAACCTGTAAGAGTCCATTCTCTCCTTCCCCATGTGGGCTCTAGGGATTGAACTTGGGTCATCAAACTTGGCAGCAAGCATCTTTACCTCAGGATCTACCTAGACACCCTCTTTCTCCTCCTTCATGCTCTCCCTCCTCTCCTCCCTCCCTCCTCCCCTTCTTTTCCTTCATTTGTTTTTATTTTTTGTTTTTTTTGGGGAGAAACATGGCAGTTTGTGGTATAGATTCCTCATGTTCTGTGGTCTTCTAAAGACATTCCATGCTATGGTTGAATTTATCTATCCATCTTTGTGAACTAGAATTTGGAAGAAGCTTGGGAAAGCACGGGTTTGATTTCTTATTGTTTTGTCAAGAGTACTTCCTAAAGTTGAGTTTGTGGGGCACACATCTGTAATCCCACCATTTAGGAGATAAAGACAGGAGGATCGGGAACTCAAGGTCATCCTTGGCTACTACATAGTCAGTTCAAGGCCAGGCTGGGTTACGTGATAGATGGGGCTATTAAAGTTCTATTAGGAAATGCAGTGTCTGGTCTCTCTCTCTCTCTCTCTCTCTCTCTCTCTCTCTCTCTCTCTCTCTCTCTCTCTCTCTCCCTCCCTGCAACAATTGATCCCTGATCCAGGCAGCACCCTTGGAATAGTGAAGGGCAGGGTTTCTGTAGAACACCCCCTACCCTGCATTTTTGTTTTGTTGAGACAGAGTCTCTCTGTGTAGACCTGGCTGTCCTGGAACTTGCTCTGTAGACTAGGCTGGCCTCGAACTCACAGAGACCCACCTGCTTCTGCCTCCAGAGTGCTGGGATTACAGGCTTGTGCCACCACTACCCAGCTCCCACCCTGCATTTTTATCTGTTTTCTTGCTTAGCATAGTCCTTTTTTTCCGTCTCCCCTGGAATCTGGAAGTTATGCCTGGACTTGAGGCTTATATGGCATTTGGGTTAAACATGATTGGCATCAAGAAAAAAAAAAGTGCTGTTATGAGCTTTGTGGCCCTTTTCTTCAGGGCAGAGTTGCATCTCTTCAGATAATGTTTGCATTCACTTCTCCTGGGCAGATGTTAACAGATGTTTATTCTCTCAAGATAGGTCATCAACAAAGAACCAGAGTAGTTACTGCACCAAATTCCAGCTTGGTGAATTTGTTGATTGGCTTACTGACAGGAGGATGGGTGACGGGTTACCTGTAGAAGTGTGGGTGACCCCAAAGCAGCTGTACCCTGGCATGGATGACCACTTGCCCATAGCTGCATAAATGAAGCTTCAGCTGACTTCTCACCTTGGTATACTGCCTAGCATCATCGAAGATCTGGAGCAGAATTACATACAGCTGTCAGGGAGGGAGGGAGGGAGCGGCTGAAACCGTAGTGGCGGTCAGAGGACAGCTTGCTTGAATCAGTCCTCTGCTTCCACCATGTGAGTTTTGAGGATCAAAGTCAAGCCATCAGGCTTGGCTGCAGTCCTGCTGAGTCATCTCGGCAGCCCACTATTATTTTTATTTTTACGTTTTTAGAGGTTTAAGAGTCTCATTCTATTGCCCAAGAAGGCTTCCAACTCACAGCAATCCTCCTGCTTCAGCCTTCCAAGAGCTGGGGTTAGAGACAGGAACCACCATGCCCTGGTTCTTCCTTCTTCTATTTGTTGCCCCTTCTTGCATCAGATCAGGCTAGCCCTCACCATGAACAGCATCCTTTTCATACTCTCCCTCCAGCTCAGCGGCCTTCTTGTGTAGCTGCCAATCATCCACAGCTTACCTGGTCTCTTTGCAACACCACCACGGCCAGGCTCAGCTGTTCTCGGGTTTGAGGGCAAAACTCAGAACATAAAAGGCGGCCAAAGGAGGCCTCTTGGATGAATACGGACCTTTGAACTTGGAACATTTTTGTTTGTTTGTTTGTTGTTTTTGAATCAGGATGTCCTGTAACCAAGGCTGAGGTCAGACTCTTTATACAGCTAAGGATGACCTTGAACTTCTGATCTTCCAGTCTCCACTATAGTTTTATGCAGCGCTGGGGACTGAATCCAGGGCATCATGCAGTCACATGCTAGACAAGCACTCTACCAGCTGAGCTGTATCCCCAGACCTTAATCAACTTGCGCCTTCTCTTCTTCTTGTGTCCTCATTAGGAGGGATCTAGGGTGTGTGTGTGTGTGTATGTGTGTGTGTGTGTGTGTGTGTGTGTGTGTGTGTGTGTGTGTCCTTGGCTGTCTTGGAACTCACAGAGCTCCACCTGCCTCTACCTCCTGAGTGCTGGGATTAAAGTTGTGTACCACCCAGCCAACCCATTATAAAATATATACTTTCATGCATGTATATCATGCATTTTGGTCACAATTACCTCCTATTACCACCTCTTGTTCCCTTCTCCCATCTCCTGATACCTGTCTTACCAGATAATTATCTTTCTATTTTCATGTTTACTTTACTTTCTTTCTTTCTTTTTTAATCTGGACATGGTGGTGCATACTTTTGATCCCAGCATTCAGGAAGCAGAGGCTTTCTATTTTTTGTTTAACTTTCCTTTTTCATTTACATAGTGCCAAGGCACATGCATGGAAGTTTATCAAGTTTGGTGGCAAGCTCTTTTAACTGGTGAGCCATCCTGCCAGCCCACGTTGTTTTCTGTTGTTGTTGATGTTGTTATTTATTTGTTTGTTTGTTTATTTGTGGTGACCTAATATATTTCATCAGGGTTTCTCACAATATCCTTTTTGAAGGATTATTTACCTGGGAGTGGCCTCCCTACTAGTGATTACGTCACTGAAGAAAATGTCTCTCTCTCTCCGCCTAGCAACTATTATCTGCCTGCAAGTCCTCAGGGAGCAGGGCCAGGTTCTGGTATCTCCAGTCTCCACCATGGCAGGCCTCTATTTCCATTTCTCTTTCCTAACCAGACTGCCCACGTTTGCTGTGCCTTCAGACTTTCTCTTTAGCAGACACACACAGCCTTTTCCTCACTAGACAATTTTTTAGAAACTTGGATCAGACCAAAGTATCTGAGAACCTCCTGTGCACCCAGGAAATCCGCTCAAAGAATGCACATAAGGACACGCTGCCTCTGATTCGTTTTTCTTTCTTTTTTTTTTTGTGTGTACGCGCACAAACGTTTATGGGGGGCAGGTGCATCAGTCCTTCTTGGCTGCCGCCTTCCTCATGGTCACCAGCACGTTGCTTAGGTCCTCTTGCATCTTCTTGGCACGAATGTATGTGCCCACTCTTTTCTTGATGAACTTGAGTGTGTTCTTGTCCTTGGACACCTTGAGATGCTCCGTGGCCACCCTTCATAGGGTGCATACCTCCCGCATCATGTACCCCACCAACTTGATGTGCTTGGTGGCCGGGAGTGGGGGGCAGGGGGGATAGTGCATACCATGGCTTGGCTGCCAGTCTCCGATAGCGGCTGTGACAGGAAGGACAGCGCCATGCAGAACCCTGGGAAGCCTCACCTCTGATTTGCCATTTTTCATCATCTTCCAGAGTGCTGGGATGGATGACCCGGCACTCCCAAACCACATCTCTGTGGAGCTCTGAGTACTCCAGTGGCTCTCTTCATCTTTTATAAAGTTCTGTCACTTTTCCTTTACTCTTTCATGTTGACATTTTTATTGCAGAGGACAGCCCCACGATGTCCTTCTCAGTGGATTCAGGTCATACATTCTCAGCGGGAACACCATAGGAAGGAAGTAATGGTTTACTCACTTTGTAACACCTAGTGTAAGGAGTCTGTCTGCCCAGTATCAGTGAAACTAGCTTGCTCAAAGTGGTACCTGCTGGGTCAAGAAATCACAATAAATGATGTGGGTTTTTTTTTTTTTCTTTGCTTGTTTTTTGAGACAGGGTTTAATATAGTAGCCCAGGATGGGCTAAAATTCACTATGTACTTAAGGATGACCTTGAACTCCTGATCCTCCTGCCTCTACCTCCCTAGTGTAGAAACTATCACTAGGATGACAGACACACACCACCATGCCTGGTTAATATTGGTGCTAGGGGCAGAACCGAAGATTTAGTGTATCCTAGGCAAGCACTCTACCAATTGAGCTACAACCCTAGCTGAGAAAGATGCTTTTAATCTCTTGGTAATTAGTAGGTATTCAGTGAGGAGATTCTGCTACCATTTGATTTAATATCTGTTGGTGATTTAAAAACATATTTATTTTTAATAATGTGAATCTCCGTGTGTGGTTGTGTGTGCGTGAGTGCAGGTGACCTCAGAAGCCAGAGGTGTTGGAACCTCTTAGATCTGTAGTTACAGATGTTATGAGCTGCCATGTGGGTGCTGGGAATTGAACTGGGGTCCTCTGAAAGAGCACTCTTGCTCTAATCCTCTGAGCAGTCTCTCCAGCCCCTGTCGGTGATTCCTACTTGCAACTGCTGTTACAACTGGCGTTGTCACGTGTGTGTTATCTTGTACCATTCCATGTACATGTGTAGATGGGTATGCTACTGAAACGAACCTTTTTCCTTGTTTGTTTACTAGCTTTATTTATCCATTGTCGTCATCATTATTATTGTATGTGTGCTTGCATGAATGCAGGTGTGACTGTTCCACTGTTGGAGCGTGGAGGTCAGAGAACACCTTTCAGAAGTCAGGTCTCTCTTTGCATTCTGGGTTCTAAGGAGTGGGCTCAGGCCTTGAGGCTCGGGTGGCACTTTGACCCAGTGAGCCCTTTAATTTGCCCAATTTTAAAAAACAAAACAAACCACACACACACACACACACACACACACACACACACACACACACACACACAAAACAAACAAACAAACAAACAAACAAAAAACACCAACCCATGGCTGACAATGTGGCTTAGTTTGTAGAGTGCTTGTCTAGCATGGATGAGCCCTGTTTTCCTTCCCCAGCAACGCATAAGCCAGGAATGGTGGTTTGGACTTGTCACCCCAGGACTCAGGAGGTGGACGCAGGAGGATCAGGGAGTTTAAGGTCATATTTAACTACATAGCAAGTTCCACCAAGTCCGGGCATGATGAGACCCTGTTTCAAATAAGAAAAAAGACCTGTGTAGAATCTGGGTTACATAAAGAAATCCTATGTCAAACTAGCAATCAGTATATATTACAAACGCACTCACACACTCATAAACATATATACCCACAAACGTGGAATCAAACTCACGGCCACACGTATGCTAGGCAAAGCCCTCTACCGACTTGAGCCATATCCCCAGTTCAAATAATCTATCTATCTATCTATCTATCTATCTATCTATCTATCTATCTATCTATCTATCTACCTATCCATCTATCTAGATATATTATTATATATTTATATTATATACATTATATATCTATATATCAGTGGATTATAAGCCTTCACTTTAATGACTCATCTGTTGCTCAAATTGTCCTAAATTTGACTCAGGAAACTCTTTGAGCTAGTTGCCATGTCCCTTTTTGACCATCTCCCATCATTTTTGAGCTCATTCTTTTTCTTTTTAAAGATATCTTTATTTTTAATTTTATGTGTACGAGTGTTTGTCAGCATGCATAGGTATACATACAGTTTATAGTTCCCACAGAGGCCAGAAGAGTATGTTGGATCCCTTGGAATTGGAGTTATAGATGGCTGTGAACTTCTCGATGTGGGTGCTGAGAACTGAACCCAGTTTATCTGGGAGAGAAGAAACCACTGAGCCATTTCTCAAGCCCCTTGAGCACTTTCTTATTTTGGGGCCAAAGTACACTTTTAATGTGACTGTCCTTGGCTTTGGAGAAGATGTTTCTTCAGGAAGTCCTGTTTCCTTTCAGTGGGGGATGGATTCAGAAAATAAGAGATGCAGGTAGGCATCATGACGTGCCTATAGGATCTGAACTTAGGGGTTGGAGGCAGAAGGATCAACGGTTTGAAGTCAGTCTGGGCTGCATAGCAAGAGAGATCCTACCCTATCTCAAAAAAAAAAAAAAACAAATATATATGTAATTTGGGGTGGGGAGGGAGGGAGGAGGAGAGCTAGAGAAAGAAAAGTTACTGGGATCGTTCTCCACTCTTTTATTTTTTTTTATTTATTTGTTCTTGTTTGCTTTGCTTTTGAGATGGAGTTTTGCTGTGTAGCATGGGCTGGTCTCCAACTGTGCCCCTCTCCCTTCAGCAAGCTCTCTGCCGTCACACCTGGCTTTGATTTTATTCCTTGAATGTATAAAATATGAACATAATTCCCGAGATCAGAATCATGCAAAACTGTGCGCTTTTCCTCGTCTCCTACTCCCCGATGCAATCAGCCTCGCTTGTTCGTTGGTTTTCCTTCTTATGCTTAGTTTTGCAAAAACAAGCAGATGCAAGTGTATTCTCTCTTTCCCATTTCAACGCTGAGGACCGAGTTTAGGGCCTCATACATGCTAGACAAGTGCCCCTCTGCTTCCACATCCCCAGCCTGGGGAATTCTAGGCTTGTGCTCTATCACTGAGCCACACCCACAGGCTCTCACTGGGGGATTCTAGGTCAGTGTTCTACCACTGAGCCACACCCCCAGGCTCTCACTGGGGGATTCTAGGTCAGTGTTCTACCACTGAGCAACACCCCAGCCCCTCACTGGGGGATTCTAGGCAGGGACTCTACCACTGAGCCACACCCCCAGTCCCTCACTGAGGGATTCTAGGCAGGGGTTCTACCACTGAGTCACACCCCAGCCCCTCACTGGGGGATTCTAGGCAGGGGCTCTACCACTGAGCCACATTCTCACCCCTCTTTTTTTTCCCCATTATTTTGACACAGTCTCACTAGGTTACTCAGGCTGGCTTTGAACTCACAATGAACGAGGCATGAACGAGGCTAGTTATGAACTTTCAGATGTGGGTTCTCTGCAAGTGCACCAAGTACTCTTTTTTTTTTTAATTGATTTATTTATTATGTATACAGTATTCAGGCCAGAAGAGGGCATCAGATCCTATAATAGATGGTTGTAAGCCACCATGTGGTTGCTGGGAATTGAACTCAGGTCCTCTGGAAGAACAGCCAGCGCTCTTAACCTCTGAGCCATCTCTCCAGCCCCGCACCAAGTACTCTTAAACCCTGACCTGAGCCATCTCTTGAGCCCTCCTACTGTACTTTTTTTTTTTTTTTTAATATTTTCCTATGTACCGATGTTTTGACTGTATGTATGTCTGTGTGCCTGGTGCTCATAGAAGCCAGAAGGGGATGTCAGATCCCTAGGACCAGAATTATAGACACTTGTGAGCTGCCATTGTGGTGCGGAGAATTGAACCTAGGTCCTCTGGAAAAGCTGCCAGTGTTCTTAACCATTAAGCCATCTATCCATCCCTCCTGTTCTGCTCTTAAGGCAATCTGAATTTGATCCCCCAGAAATCTCATAAAAGAAGGATACAATAGACTCCACATAGCTGTCCCTTAAACTCCATATGTTTACTGTGTTAGATACAACATCCCCTTCAAACATTGCCTGATCACGTACAGTAACAAATATCTTTTTTTTTTTTTTTTTTTTTGAGACAGGTTTCTCTGTAGCTTTGGAGACTGTCCTGAAACTCACTGTGTAGACCAGGCTGGCCTTAAACTCATGGAGATCCACCTGCCTCTGCCTCTGGAATGCTCTGATTAAAGGTGTGAGCCAACACTTTGTTTTGTTTTAACAAATACCTTTTAAAATGATCCCTTTTCTCATACTTGAAAGTACATTTTAAGCCAGGTATGGTGGCGAACACCTTTAATCTCAAAACTTGAGAGGCAGATGCAGGAAGATCTCAGTGAGTTTGAGGCCAGCTCGGTCTACATAGTGAGTTCCAGGACAGCCAGGGCTATGTAGAGAGAGGCTGTCTGAAAACAAAAAACAAAAAAAGTGCATTCTCTATACTCTTACACACATTTTCTGTTTTCTTTCATCTTACATTTTATTTATTTATGGAATCATTGATGGATTTTGGAGTCAAAGTCTCATATAGCCCAGACTGACCTTAAACTCCTGATCCTTCTGCCTCTACCTTCCCAGTACTGGGATTACAGGCATGCACCACTACACCGGGTTATATTATATGTAGTGCTGGGGATGGAACCCAGGGTTTTATGCATGCTAGGCAGGCACTCCACCACTGAATTATATCCAACATTTTCCCATATTTTTGTTTTTGTGTTTTCAAGAGGGCTTCTCTGGGTAGTCCTGGCTGTCCTGGAACTCTCTCTGTAGACCAGGCTGGCCTCAGACTCAGAGATCCACCTGTCTCATCTTCTGAGTGTAGCTATTAAAGGTGTGCGCCACTACCCCTTGGCTTAACACTTTCCCATATTTTTCAGTGATGATATATATATATATATATATATATATATATATATATATATATATATATATATAGCCAAGGAAGAAATAAAGGAAGGAAATTTATATCCTTGAGGAGATATTGTCAGGATTGGGTTAAAAGATGAATTCACTTGTAGTTTTTTGTTTTTGTTTTTTTTGAAGAGTACAAGTGTTGGTCTGCATGTATGTCTGTGCACCATGTGTGTGCGGTGTCTATGGAGGTCAGAAGAGGGCATCAGATACCTTGGAACTGGAGTTACAGATGGCTGTGAGCCACTGTGTGGGTGCTGGGAACTGAACTTGGGTCCTCTGCAAGAGCAACAAATGCTCTTAATGGCTAAGCCATCTCTCCAGTCCCTAATGAGTGTATTAAATATTTTTTCATTTATTTAATTATTGAGGGGTATGTGCAAGTGCCAGAAAGCTCATTTAGAGGTTAGAGGTCAGAGGACAACTTGTAGGAGTCAGTTCTCTTTCTACCATGTATATCTTGGGAATTGAACTCAGGTCTTCAGGGTTGTCAGCAAGCTCCTTTATCCACTGAGCCATCTCATAGGCATGGCATTCATAGGCTTTAAACATTTAAGGTGTAACTCACATAAGACACAACTCATATATTACCATGATTTTTAGTAGAGCCAAGGCTATGCAGTTATCCCTTTAGCTGATTTTACCAGATCCCTAGGACTGGGTTATAGACAGTTGGAGCTCCATTGTGGTGCAGAGAATTGATCCCAGGTCTTCTGAAAGAGCATCCAGTGCTCTTAACCATTGAGCCATCTCTCCAGGCCTCCTAAGAATACTGACACTGTGTGTGTGTGTGTGTGTGTGTGTGTGTGTGTGTGTGTGTGTGTGTGTACGTGTGTGTGCATGCCCACATGTGTGTGTGTGTGTGTGTGTGTGTGTGTGTGTGTGTGTGTGTGCATGCTTGAAAGCCGGAGGTTGACACGTGGTATTGCTCTCCACCTTATTTTTGCCCTGGATCTCATCCTCTAGGACTTGGACAAGGACCTGTTTTTTTTGACCCCCTTGTTCTTCTTATCCCAGACAGATTTGTGCCTCCTGTGGACCCCATTGTGTTCAGTGGGACAGACTTTGTAGCACATGTCACCATGCACAGTATGGGTGGTCACTATCCTGTCTTTTACCTCTTGTATTTGCCCTGAGGTCTCATATGGTAGATGTGGGGTGGGGTGAGGGCAGCTGGTGGATTCATCTCTGGGTTCTCTACACTCACCCGAGGCCTGGAACAGGAGGTCCTTCAAAACACAGAAGTGAAGTCCAGCCTGGAGACACAGGCTTGTCATGACAGCTATTTGGGAGGCTGAGACAGGAGGATCAAAAGTTCACAGCCTGCCTGAGCAAGTTTCTGAGACCCTGTCTCAAAAAGTAAAAAGAGGGGGCTGGAGAGATGGCTCAATGGTTAAGAGCACTGACTGCCCTTCCAGGGGTCCTGAGTTCAATTCCCAGCAACCACATGGTGGCTCACAACCATCTGTAATGAGATCTGGCGCCCTCTTCTGGCCTGCAGGGACACGTGCAGGCAGAACACTGTATACATAATAAATAAATAAATCTTTAAAAAAAAAAAAAAAGAAAAAAGAGGGCTCAGCTCAGTGATTGAGCTCCAGCCTAGAATCCACTAGGGGCTGAGAATCAGCTGCGGAGTACATGCCTAGGATTCAGTAGTGACTGACAGAGCAGGCCTGGCTCAGCAGTAGAATTCTTCCACAGACTCTAACCAGTGAGAGGCGGGGTTCATGGCTTAGTGGTGTAGAGTACCTTTCCAGAATTCACCAGTGAGAGGTCATTGCTCAGTGATAGATTCTTGCCTAGATTCACCAGTAAGGGGCTGGGTTTGTGACTCAGCAGTAGAATGCTTGCCTAGAATCCTCCACTGTGAGGCTGGGGGTTTGGCTCAGTAATAGAGCACCTGCCTACCATCCCCTAGTTGTGTGTGCCTGGCATTGCTCAGAGGTAGAGCACCCGCCTAGAATCCCCCAGTGATGGGGGCCATTGTTCAGAGGTAGAGCACCCGCCTAGAATCCCCAAGTGATGGGGGCCATTGCTCAGAGGTGGAGGACCTGCCTAGAATCCCCAAGTGATGGGGGCCATTGTTCAGAGGTAGAGCACCCGCCGAGAATCCCCCAGTGATGGGGGCCATTGCTCAGAGGTGGAGCACCGCCTAGAATCCCCAAGTGATGAGGGCCATTGCTCAGAGGTGGAGGACTTGCATGTAAGGTTAGTCTGGATAGAGGGCAGAGCCGGAAGGAAAGCAGTGAATCGGAGTTGGGGGTGCTCCCTTCTCATGTCCCTGGCACCCTTCTCCCCTCAGGTCTCTCCTTGGTGGTGGGTTTGGTTCTGTACATCTCCAGCATCAATGATGAGGTCATGAACAGGCCCAGCAGCTCGGAGCAGTATTTTCACTATCGATACGGGTGGTCGTTTGCCTTCGCTGCTTCCTCTTTCCTTCTCAAAGAGGTGATGTGTTGGGCCCAGAACTACCAATTTGAAGGAGGAGGTGGGGATGTCGGGGTGTTCCAGCTCCTGGGGGTCTGAGGCAGATGAGATCTGAAGATCGGGCCTTCTGGGTTTGTGGCAAGAAAACAAACCAATAAGCCTGAGGATTGGACCTTCTGAGGTCTTGGAGGTGGGAGTCCTGGTTTCTCGGAGAGAAGGAGTCCCGGGACAGGACTCCATGAAGAGAAGACGATCTAATCCCTGTGCCCAAGAGGAAAAGAATTCTGTAGGTTATGAGTCTCTGGGTCCCAGAGAGGAAAGAGTCTGGAAGTTCTAGCTCCTGGGGGTCTTGAGAGGGAAAAAGCTGAGGGAAAGCCTGTGGGTTGGACCCTTGAAGTTTTGGAGGAGGATGGGGAGCCATTGGTCCCCGGAAAGGGCTGAGCTGGGGGACCAGTCTCTCTGCTTTGACGTGGGAGGGTCTGGCAGTCTGATTCTGGGGTCTAGAAGGAAGAGGAGGCTGGGGATATGCCTGTATTATGAGGGAGGTGGGTTAGACTGTGGGTCTAACCCCTGGGATCTGAGTGTTCTAATTCTTGGGGTCCTGGAGGAGATGAGGACTGGGGCCTCTTGGGTTTTGCAGAGGTCTTGGGGGGTGATATGCAACTGTGACTCCTGGGTTTTGGTAGAGGAAGTGACAGAAAGTTGCCTTTGGGATTCTGACGGTGCCTTGCCACAGGGGGCCGGAGTCATGTCGGTGTACTTATTCACCAAGCGCTACGCGGAGGAAGAGATGTACCGCCCGCACCCGGCCTTCTACCGCCCGCGTCTCAGCGACTGCTCTGACTACTCCGGCCAGTTTCTGCAGCCCGAGGCGTGGCGTCGTGGTCGCAGCCCTTCCGACATCTCCAGCGACGTCTCCATCCAGATGACGCAAAACTACCCTCCAGCCATCAAGTACCCCGACCACCTCCACATCTCTACTTCACCGTGCTGAGGCCGGGCTCCCTCCTTCTCCTCCTCCTTCCTTCCCCTCACCCGCGCCTCCCGCCTCCTTAACACCTTAAGGGACTCTTGGCTGAGGGATGCTGTGCCATCTCCAGGCCTCAACCCATCATCCTCATTTCAATGGCTCCAGCCTCTCCTCGTTGGTCCATTATACTTCCAGATGATCTCGGCCACCTGCCCAACCCCCCACCGTGAGCCCGTCCCATTTCGGGGGTCCCTCTCCTGGTCCCTCCCCACCCGTTATCTCTAACCCACTTTACTATCCTCTGGTGGTATCTTGCATCTAGCTCCCCCCGAACTCCTTCAGACTACCGCTTCCGCGCAGGGGTGCTGGGCTGGAGAGTGGGTGTGATAGCCACTAGGAATGCCCTTGAACTCTCATCGATTCTTTCCTAGCACAACACCACGTGGCCTGCAGGTCCCTGGTCTCGGGGGTGGGGTGGGGTGGGGTGGGGAGAAGCTTGCTCTGCCCACATCTGCTGGTCGGGTCAGGGGCTGCAGGGAATGACTATGGCTTACCTTGACTTCTTTTTCTTTTGCCTCCGGCAGACTCCATTCCCTCTCTTTCTTTTGTCCTCAGGAAGGAAGGCAATCTTCTTTCTTCCTTTGAAGGGATCCTCCTCCTCCTCCTCCTCCTCCTCCTCCTCCTCCTTCTTCTTCCTCTTCCTCTTCCTCTTCCTCCTCCTCCTCCTCCTCCTCCTCCTCCTCCTTCTCCTCCTCCTCTCCTTCTTCTTCCTCTTCTTTTCCTTCCTCCACTTGCTCATCCGAAGCCCCTAGGTGCATCCAGCCTCTCACACCAAACAAGGATGGGACCCCAGGGTGGAGGGAGGTTCCCTCATGCTATCTCCACACCTGTGCCCGCCTCTCCCCCCTCGAGGTCCCGTCGGGGGAGGGAGGGGCAGTAGCGGGGGTTAACACCCCCCAAAACCTCTGTCTTCCATTTTCTGGTACTCCCTCTCATCCATGTCCCTCTTCCTATCTCAGATCCCCCAACTCTGGTCTCTTTCAAGGGCCCGTCCGCCCCCTTGGACAGATTGGGGGGGGGGTCGCCAGAAAACCGCCCACCCCACCCCCTTTATTAGGGGAGGAAGGGAGAGGTAGCACAGTGTTAACACACAGAACCAGAACGGCCCCAGGGTGGGGGGAGGGGGGCAGGGAGGGCTGGGGCTTTTAGTTTGCATCTTAGGTGGGAGGGGGGTGGGGGACCGCAGCAGTTATAACCTGTCTTTACGCAGCAGCGATTTTTAATGAGGCTGGGGGAGGGGAGGGAAGCGATAAGGGTGGGGAAATGGTGGGTGGGGGGCCTGGCTCTGTTATTTACCGTGTACCATATGTAAATACCGACAGAAACTTCAATAAACTTTATTTCAAACACGTCTCTGCCTAACGAAAGGGAGGGGATCGGAAACAACGGGCTTATGGTACTGGTTTCTCCTGAGGGTAAAGTGCTATTATTCTGACTAGATCTTTCGAATGGCGCACACCTTCAATCCTAGCACTCAGTAGGCAGAGGCAGACAGATCTCTGTGAGTTCTAGGACAGCCAGGACTAAGTAATAACTTGTCTTCAAAAATAGAACACCACATGACCAGGTTTGTAATTCCGGACTTGGGAGACAGAGGCAGGAGGATTGCTGCAAGTTCTAGGCAAACTTTCAAGGCTTTCTTAAAAAACAAAATAAGCCCACCAAGATGGCTCTGCTTGAGTCCTAGAACCCGCTCTTGCAATGGAATGCTTGAGATTACTTCCCTTTCTCCCCATAATAATAATAAAATTAAAAAGCTGGGCAGCGGTGTCGTACACCTTTAGTCCCAGTGCTTGGAAGGCAGAGGCAGGCAGCTCTCTAAGTTTGAGGCCAGCCTGGGTTACAGAGAGAGTTCCAGGATAGCCATAGCTACACAGAGAAACCCTGTCTCAAAAAACCAAACCAACCAACCAAAAACAAAACAAAACAAGCAAACAAAACTGCTTGAGGACTTGGGCTGTAGGTCAGCTGGTACAGTGATTGCCTAGCATACCTGAGGCCCTGAGTTTCATTCTCAGCCAGGCCAGGAGATGGGAGCAGGAGGGACAGGAGTACAAGGTCCTCACTGGCTGTGAAGAGAGCTTAAGGGCTTACTGAGAGAGGAAGAGAGAGAGAGAGGGAGAGTGTTGAAAAGTTATTTAGGTTACTTAATTTAATCGTCACCTTATAATTCAGTCCCTGTATGAGGACAATAAATGACAACAATGTTAAGGTCAATACAAAAACAAAAAGAACCCCCCCTCTTGATACGCCTCTGGCTGCCCAGTGCACCGTCCGTCACCCACACTGCTCCGTCTGACTTCCTTCTGAAGCCCCCTGTTGAATTTACCGGCCTCCTCGCGCCCATTCCGCCAGCGAGGTGAATGACTCATCTGAGAGCGTTTATACCAACTGACAGCCTTTGACTGGCACCAAGTCAGTCTGGCTCCCACACCTGAGCTTCCTGCCTGGGTACAAGGCAAGAGTGGGCTTCCCGCATGCTGGGCCCGTTTGCTACGTTTGAAAGAAACCACCCCAACTATTTATTGGACAGCTACCGTGAGGCAGATGCTTCCGATCTGAACATAATCCCATTAGCCGTTCACAGTGGTGGGTATGAAGGAATTACCACTGTTTGTACAGGTGATGGAGGGGTGGAAGGAGGCTCAAAATTGGATTCTAAGGGCTGCAGTTCCACTAGAGAGAGAGACTGAGAACAGCCAAAATATTAAGTAGCTGATAGATTTACAACCGAGCTCTCTCTCTCTCTCCCCGCCTCTCTCTTAGAGGTTGAATCCAGGGAACCAAGCACCTCCTGAATGCAAGGCGAGAACTCAGTAGCTAAGCGACACCCCCAGTCCCTCACTAGGGGGTTCTGGGCAGGTGCTCTACCACTGGCAACGACCCCCTCCCCTCTCCCCTCCCCTGTGGCCCCAATAAGCTTAATCTTGAAAATTATTGGAAAGAAGTACGATGTCTGCCCCTCGTTCTTTGCCTCATCTGTGCGATAATGGCCCTGCCACCATGACACCTGGCTCACAACCACTGCCCTACTGAGGTAACGTTTTCTATTTACTCAGTCATTAGCTTTTCCCCACCATCCTGTGGACTCAGCTTTCCCACTAGCCCCATGTTACAAGTGAAGGAGCGGAGGCACTGGAAGATGAGGTGACCCAGCTGTTAACCCGTGAACTAGTCCCATGCCCAGGCTTTCCGTGAGTCACAGTCAATTAGCTGTTACATTAAAAAAAAAAAAATACAGAGGGGGAGGGGGACGCACGTGAGGTGCCCACATGGAGGTCAGAGGACAGCTTTCAGGCCTCAGTTCTCTCCCTCCACCATGTGGCTTCCAGGGATTGGACTCAGGTTGTCTGTCACCTGGTGGCAAGGCCCTTTACCTGCTAAGCCATCTTGCTGTCCCCAGCTGCTACATTCTACCACCGCGGATTTTATGCAAACTCATGCTGTGACCTTGAGCAAGTCTTTTTAATTTCCGAGGCTTTGGTTTCCTTTTCTATCTAAAAAGGAAAAAAAAATGAGGGGGATGGTTTAGAATAATTCCAAATCCCTCTGGAACAGGGAGGATGGTTTAGGGAGGTTCTCAGGAAAGAACTCAGATTCAGCAGGGTCAGACTCCCTGGAGGGAAATACATTCTGAGTCATTCTCCATGATTCCAGGAATTTCTGAAGGTCAGGCTTGAGATTCGCAATGGCAAACACAGTTCAGCGTCTTTGTTGAGACTAATTGATTCCTAGTGTGGCTTGGAACACAGTATTAGAAGGATTCTGAACACACGTTTGCTCAGGAGGAGAGAATGTCCCCACCTGTCGGTGCTGTCTGCCATGCTGATCTATTGGTGCTGTCTGCCATGCTCATCGATTGGTGCTGTCTGTCCTGCCTGTAGCATGGGAGGTGATGGTACAAGTGCTGGCTTCTGCTATTTGTACAGAATATAGTAACCTAAAATCCTGAAGTTGATGTTCTCTTTTTTTTTTTTTTTTTGAAAAACGTGAGGCCGTGGGCTGTGGAGATGGCTCAGTGGTAGGAGCGCTTGTCATCTAGGAAGGAGGACTTGAGTTCAGATTTCAGTCCACCACGGAAAAAGCTAGGCATGGCCACGTGGGCTTGGAACTCCAGTGCTGTGAGGGGCAGAGAGGAGGGTTTGTTTGTAGGGTTTTCTGGCTTCTAGCTTAGTGAGCCAGTGAGAGGACCTGTTTCAAAAGGAATACGGCAGAGATGCCCATGCCCTCCTCTGGCCTCTCCTTGTACAGGTGTGTATATCTACGTGTACAGACAGGGGCATTTCACACACACACACACACACACACACACACACACACACACAAAGAATAAATAAGAAAGAAAGAGATACAAATCTTGAAAACAAAAAGTTAAGTTCACTTTTGTTACCTTGGTAGGACCTAGCATCTTCCAGAACACAGGCCTCCAAGCATGCTTGTGACAGATTTTCTAGATTAGTTTAATTCAGGTGGGAGGACTGTGTGGCTTAGTGGGTCCTTCCAGCTTGATAGAAACGAGATCGTGAGGCTACACTGCAAACCCACAAGCTATCTCCGCCACTGTCCTCGCTACGGTTGCCATCGCTGTGGTGAAATACCAGGACCAAAGCAACTGGGGGAGGAAAGGGTTGACTTCACTCACAGTTCCATATAAACAGTTCATCATCAAAAGCAGTGAAGGCAGGAACTCAAGCAGGGCAGGAACCTGGAGCCAGGAGCTGATGCAGAGGCCATGGAGGGGAGCTGCTTACTGGCTTGCTCAACCTGCTCTCTTACAGAACCCAGGACTATCAGCCCAGGGATGACACCACCCACCATGGGCTGGGCCCTCCCCCATCAACCACTAATTGAGAAAATGCCCTATAGGCCTGCTTACAACCCAATCTTATGGAGGCATTTTCTTAACTGGGGTCCCTTCCTCTCAGATGACTTTAGCTTGTGTCAAGTTGACATAAAACTATCCAGCACAGCCACCATCAGCAAGAACCTTTGCCAAGGTACTATCAGAATTCTGTTTGTTGCTGCTGTTTTTTATTTATTTATTTATTTTTACAGTCTCATGTATCCCAGGCTAGCCTCTAATTCATCATATCTGCCATCAAATCTGCCTTATGACACTGGTGATTGAACTCAGGTCTTTGTGTGTGCTATGCAAACATTCTACCAGCTGAGCTGTGTCTCCAGCAAGTACTATGACCTTGGAGCAAATCATTGGAGAAACACTCTGTGTGGTTTTGCCCATACAGGTGTGAGTTTAAATGCACACACAGGTGGGCAGGAAGCACGTATGTGTGTATTTTATATAACAGTCATCACAGAAGGCACAGGGTTCTCCACCTTCCAACTACACACGTGGAATGGAGCCAGTTTCATATCAGTTATATAACCCTTCTTGACTGTTTTCCAAGGCCACTTAATAACAATAGTTTGCATAAATCAGTTGCATAATTTAGCAAGTGCTTCCTGTCACTGGCCACTTTGCTTTAAGTCATTTACATCCCGTAACCCGTGGAGGCTTGATAGTTATTATCATCTCATTTTGTAAATGAGATCCTAGGGCATGGAGAGGTTAATTAACTTTCTCCTTGTCACACAGCTAGAAAAATCACCAAGCTAAAATTGAATCCTGGGAGTCCCTGAGCCTGTCCTACTCACCCATGAAAAGGGAGGATGTCTATGTCTTTATGCACGGGAGGAAGCCACACTTCTCTCTGTGAGACCGTTTTTCACAGTGTCCTGCATCTTATGTTATTTACAGAAGAGTGTCACACATTAGTGGTGCTCAAATTGTGACCCAGAGGCCCTGTGGGATCCTTGGGAGTTAATTTAAAAAGCTATAAGATTCAGAATCTGGAGGGAGGAGGATTATAAGTTCAAAGTTTTTCCACAGACCTGGGTGTAGTTACACACACCCATAACCCCAGCACTCAGGAGGTAGACTAAGGAGGATCAGGAGTCCAAGGCAGAGCTATACATGGAGTCTGAGAACAGTTTGACACAGAGACTCTGTCCAAACAAACACCACACACACACACACACACACACACACACACACACACACACACACACACACAGAGTAATTTGGGGGTCAGTAAAGGGTCTTGCATCGCAAGCCTAAAGGCCAGAGATCAGTTCCCAGGACCCACAGAGTAGGAGGGAACTGAGTCCTGAAAGCTGTCTTCTGACCTCCACATGCCCACTTCCAGTAATAATAACAATAACAACAACAATAATGATAGTAGTGGTGATAATAGATTAAGAGCTGGAGAAATTATTCAGTGGCTAAGAGCACATACTGCTCTTCCAGAGGATCAAAGTTCAGTTCCCAAAAGCGTATGAGTCAAGCTCATTACTTGCCTGTAGCTCCAGCTCCAGGGGGATCTGATGCCCCCTTCTGGACTCCTCAGGTACTGCACACACACACACACACACACACACACACACACACACACACACACACACACACACACATCTTTTTTAAAGATTTAAGGAAACAAGAAATAAAGTAAAACAGGGCCTAAATCAATTTATTTCCCCTTATACTATTACTTCCTTATGAAATATAGAGTACAGCAGAGTTAGAGCCAGTATGAAGATAATCAAATGGACAAGTAAGTGGAACTTACTTCACCTGAATCCAGGCCCTCACACATACCAGGCAAGGGCTCTATATCTGAACTACATCTTTAGTCCTTTCTGAATTTCTGTTTTGAGACACAGTCTCACTAACTTGCCAAGACTTGTGTCGAATTCACCCAGTAGCCGAGGCTGGCCTCAAATTTACTATCCTCCTGCCTAGTCTTACAAGTAGCTGGGCTGAGGTCTCAGTGTCGCTACACCAGCCGCCCCTTCTTCCACTAGGACAAAGGTTGGATAGATTTTATAATGCATCTGCATATGCTTCTTTTGTTTTGGAACCCCCTAGAGAGTTTTCACTAAAGCAAGTTGCTTATGTAAGCATGCTGTGGTCCAGTTATTTATTATGACAGTCTCTCACTGTGGAGTCCAGGTTGCATGGAAACTTGCTGAATAGCCTGGGCTAGCTTCAAACTTGAAATCCTGAGGTCAGAGAGACAGTTCAGCAATTAAGAGTACCCACTGCTCTTGCAAAAGACCAAGGTTTGCTTCCTAGCACTTACACAGTGGTTCATAAACATCTGTAACTCCAGTGCCAGGGGATCTGGCACCTCCTTCTAACTTCTGAGGGCACCAGGCAAGCACATGGTGTAAATATATACAGGTGGGCAAAGAAAGCACTCATACATATACAATAACTATATCTAAAAAGTAAAAATGAAGGACAGTGACTGAGGAAGGACACCTGAAACAGTCCTCTGACCTACACACACACACACACATACACACACACGGGGGCGGGGGGAGTTTTCTGGGGCCAGAAAAATGGGTCTGTGGTTAAGAATTCGTACTGTTCAGTCATTGCATACTGTTCAGTCATGGGGACCAGAGTTCCACTCTCAGCACCCATGTTGAGCTGCTCACAAGCCCTCTGAGGGATTTGACACCCTCTTCTGGCCTCCGTAGGCACTGGCATATAAATTAAATTAAATGTGGACATACACTCATACATGTACATTAAATAAAAATAAATATTTAAAAATGCTTTTTTTTTTCTTAAGAAGTTTTTAGGACTGGAGAGAGCTCAGAGGTTAAGAGTGCATACTGCTCTTTCAGAAGACTGAGTTGGGTGGCTCACAACTGCCTGTAACTTCAACTCCAGGGGAACTGGCGCCCTCTTCTGGCCTCCGAGGGCAATGCACTTAATCTAAGCAGACACAGGCATATTATCTAAATAAAAAGTAACTTCTTTTTTCTTTTAAGACAGGGGACAGGGTTTCAGGAGGAGAGAAGGCTATAAGACAATAGTTGGGCTAGATTCTCGCCTCAGAGGTGGAGTGCCTAGAATCTGCTAGTGAGGGATGTCCTGACGGTGGATTAGATGGCAGAGCCCCTTGCCTGATATACGCCAGAGGCTCAGGATATGACCCAGTGGTAGAACAACCGCCTAGCATGCACAAGGTTCTGGGTTTGACCTCTGGTATCAGAAAATAAAGGAAATAAAATAGGAATAGAAAAGAAAGATAAACAAAACGACTTTCCTATTTTTATTTTTAGTTTCAACCTCATCCCCAGATGATGTGACCATTAGCAGTTTCTTCTTTTAGGTCAGTGGCTCTCCCCTGGGATGATTTTGCCTCCAGAGTAAAAAAAAAAAGTGATTTCTGTACAAGTTAAGAGGGCAGACTGGCATTTGTCAGACTGGCATCTGTAAGGATTCTGCAAAGGTGTGGGTAGGCATTGCCCAACATCCATAGCAAAGATTCCTCTGGTCTAAGATCTGATTGTAGTGAAGTTCCAGTTACTGGCTCTAGGCATTACCTATTCACCTATATTGTCCCTCTGTCTTATCCATTCTTTTCTATTGCCGTATCTATCATCTACTCTTCAACCTACCTACCTGCCATCTGTCTGTCTATCT